GTGCCAATGTGAGCTCAATGAGACCTTATAGGTTGTTTTTGGAAATGGTACCCACACAGTCATTGCACTTATACATTTACCACGTCTTTAAAAAACCTATGAGGAAAGATGACAATGACAGTACAGAAGGATTTACTGGCACTTCATGTGGGTCTGCCCTTGAAATACAGACTGAAATTTACACTTCTGCCTCATTGCTACAGGCAAAATTCACTCTGAGACAGAAAAAGGTGTAAGATTTGTTTAAGTCTCATTAGCCCGACCTAAGAACCTATCAAGACTTTCTACTTCTAAGTATTTTGCACTAGGACTTCTGGGCTTACATATAACACAACTGCCAAATAAACCTCGTGGTGGCTCTTCTTCTGACACAGGAATCCTGGACACAACAAAAATCAACTGATTTTTTGCCCTGAACTGCTCATGGCCTGGGAGGTTGCTCTTGTTAGTGTCGAAGCACTGAGACAAGCATCAAAGGGAACCCAGGATTGCTGGCAAGCCAATCTAATAGATAAAAACATCAAATGCTACATGCTGTCCTGGCTAGGAAGTCAGACTTTAATTATTCTGAAACATATGTCATAACCATAATTCAATCCGTTGGCACTACCATCTTACAAACAAGAACCAGAATTCTGAGAACTGGCTGGCTTGGGTCTTAAACGGGTGATCCATTTGTCTTCATTAACCCAGAAAACAGAAGTAACAGGTTGGCTACTCATGGTGTGAACCTTTGGTGGAAATTTCAGGGGAAATGGACTGTATTTAACAAGTCCATATTCACTTAATAGTTTGTTGTCTTTTACATTACCTTGCTTCCTGAGTAAATTTTAAGCGCTCAGACATGCTGCTGTGCTGCATTTCATGCATTGTTAGATCCCAGGTTCTCCCTCAGACTAGGTCTGTTAATGCAGCTTCCTGACATGCAGCATTAAGGGTTACTTTGGTTCAGCTTTTCTATTTAAAGCAAGCTGGACAGGCCCATAAAACTTCTCCTATTAAAACCCAATCATTTCCCATTTCCCTTACACAAACAGCAGATCAGAATTACTGCCAGCTGGGAACATTTTGGTCCAGAAACACTTTCAGTTTGATTTGTCAAGAGCCTCCTGTACAGTGACTTGCTCTAGAGTCTAATGCTGAGGAGATGTGAAAGGACAGATGTGAAGTGACTGTCCTAAAATAGGCCAGAGTTAACCTGAGAAGACTCTGCTATTCTAAAAGAGCTAGAGAAGAAAATAATACTCCCTGATCAGGTATACTTAGTAGGAAGACCTCAAATGTTGAAGACAAAAAACTGTACATGCAGGCAAGACAAGTCAATATTAGAGTGATCTTCAGGACTCAGTAGGCTTGGGCAGATAAGCAGCTTCTACTTTCTAATGAATTATTTTATATGCTGTAAATCCAACTGCTAAGTTTGAGAAAGACATGCACTGCTATACCTTTGCTACAGAACCCACCTCTGTTTTACCCAATGCAGGGTAAAACTCGGAACTGCTTCAAGCTTAGGCATGCAGGAAGTGATTCACTTCAGCTGCCTCGCGTAGGCTCCATCTCTCACGAGAGCTTCCCCCCTCACCTGTCTGAGATGGTTCCCTTCCAGCCTTTCTCCCTAACCCCCCATTTCATAACAACAACTGTACATTTCATTTTACGGTGCTTCAGGAGCCTTGCCTGGTGAAATTTAACTGTTTATTGAAAGCTTTGCCACACCAGGCCTGTGAGACAGACTCGGTATTTAGCCTCTGGCTTGAGCACGCAATGTGTCTGCAACATCCCCTCCTTCTCCCTGCACGTCTCCTCCCTACGCCTCCCACTGCTGGCACTCCGTACAGTCAGCAGCGACTGCCACGGGAGGATTCAAGAATCTGCTGGAAAAGTGCACGCCCCTTCCCAATTCCCGTTTCTTCTGTCAGCGGAGCACAACAGAATCGAATCCTGCTGAGACACGTCAAAAGCAGGCAAAGCTCCCAAGCCAGAAGCAACTAAACAGAAAACACCAGCATGCGCAGCCGCCCTGGCTCCGGCAGCACTAAACAAGGCAGGGAGCTTCCCTGCGTGCTGCAGGGAAGGCTTCCCAGGGAGCCTCTCCGCAGGCACGGAGCAGGCCAGCCAGCTATGCCACCAGTCCAGTCCCTCCCCTCGGTGCCTTCTTAGCAGCACAGCTTCACAGAGCTGCCTGGGCATGGGCCTGGGTGGCTTCATGTAGTTCTGTGACATCTCGAGCGTGTCCCACTCATCTGCCTGACAGAAAGGAACTGCTGGCTAATTGTCAGGCTCTCCCTTTTATCCTTCAGGATTTTTTCTAGCAAGAACAGCGTGATCCCGAGTCATTTTGCAACTTAGGTAAAGTCAGCTCCTTCTGCCACTAAACTGCTGCCTGGTTTGAGTGATTGTTAATGACCAGAAGTGAGACTAACAGGGAGAACTCTCATCATTTTCTCATGATATGTGTTTTAATCACATTCAAGAAGAGTCCAGGAGGTACAGCAAGCTCCATCACTGCATGTGCTTTCTGTAAAAAGCAGTAGCTAGATCTGAACCTAAGCAGGATAAGTGAGAGCTGGATGAGGAATCTCACTAGCATCATATTTAATTGATGTAATTTGCTATATATTCACTTGGAATTAATTTCCAAGTGAAAACATGAATGACATGATTATGCATGTTGATGCAAGTGGTCATCACCACATATTTCAAAACATCATCCAACCAGTCACTGCCTTCTGCATCCTGCAGCAGCCCAGTATGCAGAGAACTTCCTGCGGGTCGGAGGAGCTAAGGAAAAGCAGCACAGGAGCATTTTTAATGCTTTTCCCCAAATTAAACAGAACTGATCGTCTGAATCTGGAACAGATTGCAGGTTGTCTCACTCTAGCTGTGGTGTCCAAGTGGCACATGACCACCCATTCTTCCTTGGAGAAGCTTTCAAGCACACATCAACTGCTGGGTTTTCTGCTAGAATGGGATCCCCAATGTCCTCCCGCTTCTTTGACTCCTCACAACCAATAGGTTTGTTTTTATTAAAAACAAAACAAAACATACCGGTAGGTGTATGGCCCTACTTCCTCCACAAGAGGAGTAGCTCCTTGAAGCACTTCTAAAGGATTTGTCACATTAAAAAAGTAGAACTGCATGTAGACTGGTGGAGGAGGATCTTCCCAGGCTTCGAAGGTTTCTGTGCCATTTCTTAATACTGTTCCCTGGAACAACACAAAGGCAAGATAACTGTTTTGATAGATGCTGTGCTCTCAGAACAAGCATGGCCATTAGGCTTGGAAATGCCATTTCTACCGATTCTACATTTCTGACAATGAAGATTTAGCTGCTACTACACAATGAACCTGTTTAAGCCAAGTACCCTGTTTAAGGTGTATCAACAAGAAATGCCTACGAGACATCAAGAGACATGTGCCATTTATATTTCAGATAAAAGAAAGGGAACTCAATAGTGTGAGCTCTACAGTGATGGGAGCCCATGTATCTCCAAATCCAGAGTATCACTGTTATCCACTGAAACAGGGACTCACAGGAGAACATCTATAAAAGATTATTCATGATAGAAACTGTTAAGTAATGAATCAGCAATTTCTTAACCCACTAGTTTACTCAGCTTATAAGCAAGGTCACAACTGCCCCAGCATGCGTCTCCATTAGGAACATATAATATAGGTTCTCTCCATATCATTACCATTTCAGTTTAGATAGAATTCACAATTATAAAAGCATCCCAACAATGAACCCTAAAATCAAGGCTTTTTGCCACTGATACTGACACTGTAGCAACAAGGGGAAAAAATGGCATGCAGAGCAGAATTTTTAGGAATATGTACAAAGAAAAACATATCTTTGATACTACACTACCAGTAGGCGGAAGAAGGGGAAAATAATTTGCAACTAAATGGGTCTCATGAACACTTGTTCTTTTTATTCTTTGGAGAAAACAAGTCAAATATTGTAAGTCCAAAAGCAGGGCAGATTGGACAACTGCCATTTCATGGATGCAATTTATGGGGTCTTAAAGCCACCAGCCACTGTTGCCTCAGGATTTATTCTTGGTTTTCCACTTAAGTAGTTGTTTTTGCTCTGTATTTTATTTTATTTTTTCAATGATTAGATAAAGAGAAGACTGTTTCAAAGAAAAATGCATTGGCAGGAGGTTTGAACAGCAGCAGTATTCCTGAATGCCAATGAAAGCCAACCCAGCTGGCAGTATTTGGAAGTCACAGACTGCTTTCCTCTGAGGGTTTCTAGCCATGTATTCTACACACATCACAGAGGAAAAAAAAAAGAAGAATAAAAAAGAAAAAAATATATTTTAAGCATGCTCCAGGGCTTCAGGAGTTTTGTGTGTTTCTTTGGAACCACCAGCACCTAAAAAGCCCAATGCATTTGATCCTCTTTTCTTGTAATCTATGCCAAGGAGGTTTATCCCTGTGTCCAGAAAGAGCCCTTCTGAAACTGGTTTCCAGGATCAGGAACAGAAAATCTCACTGAATCAGGTCTGCAGTTTCTATGACTCCAGCAGAAAAAGCTGGGAATGAGACAGCAATGTGGCTGAGACAGTGATAATCGTGACAGCTTTTCTCCGTACACCAATAACCACACTATGAAATCAATTATTTCAGAGGTTTATTGCAATAAAGTCCGGTCTGCTCCCTTCAAAGTTGTATAATTGAAGTCGTATAAAGCTCCTATTCCTCATGCCCATGAAACACAGCGAGTTTAGCTTTATGTTGATAACCAGACTAATTATCACCTGTCTTAAGCTTAACCATCCATATCTAGGAATTTGTACTGCTCTCCAGCAACTACTGACCAAGCATATTCAGGCCACTCATCAAGTGCTAAAATGTCTGTCATATGAGACAACTAAAATGAAGGGTTACTTCTCACTCTAAACGTGCACTTTTTTTTTTTTTTTAATGTGTGTAAAAACAAGTGCACCCTGGTCATATTCATTCCAGTTTTAAGCTCCAGTCTATTATTTTTGACAGGAGGTTCACGTTTATAATGTGCAAAGATGCTAGTTCCCCTGTCCCTATCTTCTCAACTGAGAAGAAGAAGCTCCTCTGCTTGATGCAGCTTTGTTAAATGCAATATGGATTTCCAACAAGCTATAAATATATAAACCTATGTCCCAGATTACATGCAGATACATAGCACTAACAGGAAGAAAATGGAGGAACTTTTTGCTGGCAGACTGGTGTAAGCTCCTGCTCCCGAGACTCTGAAGTTGTAACTGATCTCCAGGAAAGTGGTCTGGGAGCAAAAAGGCACTGAAACAGCCAGAGTAATCTGGTGATTTATTACCAGGATCTGCACAGCACCATTTGGATCTCCCACAAAAATGACAAGGTCTATTTTTAGACCTGCACACTGACAGCACTGGTGCAAGGCCAGATTCACAAACTTCTGAGCAGCATTCAGGCTCCACAAATCTCTCAAATAACAAAATATTGCCAGCTCTTTTCTTCTATTTTTCACCAAATGTCACCAGGAATACTTCCATCTTTGACATGGCATCACACAGCCTGGACTTGAAAAAAAAAAACATGACCCAGTATTTTTGGGAGAAACATATCTCCACACGCCTCGGTCAGCAGCTTGGTGCTGCTGTCTTTTATTCACACTGCAGAAGCATCTGATGCTACATGACTGGCGCTACTCTTCCCACAGGTTGGGTGGGCTGGGAAATAACAGAGCATAGGACTGCTCTTAACCCCAGAATGCACGAAAGCTACAGTTCTCCCGTAGTTATAGCTACTGTCCTGTGTAAGGTCAGGAAATCAGACTTCTCCTGATACTTACATGCAAGAACAAGAGGTAAAACTCAAAGTACTCCTAAACCTTAAGCTGGACACTAGTTCTGCAGGCAGGTCTAGAGGGCAGGCTTTTAACTCCAAGATACCCTGTCACAGCGATGCACAGATGCAATTCACTGAAGATCACAACCTAAATCATGCTGACAACGTGACTGTTCGTCCCTACCCAGCAGCACAGCAGGGGTTCACCTTTCCTGTTGACTTTATAATGCCAGTCCCAAATTTGCCCTTATGTCCTTCCCTTAGCTTTCCCTCCCTGACCACTCTTCACACACACAAAGTAAAGAGCATGTCTTCCCTCAGAAGTGTAACAGTTGTTGGTGGTGATTATAGGGGGTGAAGAAGGTACCATACCTTTTCTGATCTTCATTAGAAAATTGAATTTGTTTGAATCTGTTGTTTTCTAGAGCTGTAAAATGTTCTAACAACACGGCAGAGTTTTATATATTAGTCTATGACAGAATTTAATTGCAATCATGAAAGAGACAAGTAATAGTGTAATTTAGATCAACATCCTCTGACTGCTAATATATATTGGGCATCTGATCTGATCCAGCATGACACTGTAATTCATAATAAGCTAGTAAGACTGGCAAAGAAGACAGAATAAATGGGCAAGGTTTGAAGGCCTTGCAGGAAAGGTACTCGTACTCCCCTTGTCACCCCACACGTGCGCCTGCTGATTTTCCAGGAGACAGTGTGATACTCTGCTGGATTCCCCACTCCTCCTGCATCCCCTGTTCCTCCATGCTTGTGTTCAAGTGCAATTTCCTGTGTTTCAGCTTGTGCTCATCACCCCTCATCTTGTCGCCCTTCTGCAATCCCCTTAAAGGCAGAGGAATCTATGAGGCTAAGAAGAATCAATGTGAAATCCATGAGCAGAGAGGTAAGATTTCATGTTCGGTGCCCTGGAGTGCAGAGCAGTAAGAGAGATGGAAAAGCTCAAGTCTTGCCACATTTTGAAGGCAAAGTAAGATTTATCTATTTGCACAGCACTGTCTAAGAAGTACATATGGTTACACAAGAGACTGCAACTTCCTAGATCATGCACGGGTAAGAAAACCTCACAGAGAAAGCAGCAGAATCAGCAGAGTGACAGGGAGGGCACTGCTTTGGGAACCGTTCACGTCTACACAAAGCTGCACCGCTTGGGTTTGGTTTGACACGCATGCAACTTTGCATATGTTACCACTCACATGACAACACCCAGCTTCCCGATTGCCTAGAGAAAGGTACAGGCTGATGCAGAAATTACTTTGGGATAAACCAGGCATTACCCATGAGTACACTGCAGCACGGCAGAGGCAGGGATCTGAGAACCAACACTACGGGACTACCCGTATGAGCTGCTCCGGACGAGTGGCTGGCACACGGCAAGTCTGCGTGACAGCTTAGACTGAGGTACCCCTCCTCTGGATACCCCCTTAACCTTACAGGCACACTGCAAAGGGACACAACTTGCCCACTAAAATTGCATTTGCTAAACCAAAGTGGTTTAAGTTGAGACAATACAGTTTTTAGGTTAGGAAATGCTTCCTGACAATATGTCAAAAAAAGGAATTGGATAGGACACTATGGGGATCATCAGAGTTCTGCGCCAATGAGATAGTAGCACTGGCCAAATCACTATTTCTTCACACTCCTGGTTTCTGTGTTTAAATAACAGGGATTATATTCTTCAGAGCAGGCAAGTTAATAATTATTCATTTACAGCGGTCACAGCTATTTTAAGGGAAACTCCCAATGATCTGAATTTCTTATGTTAAGTATGGGGGTTACTAAGCTAAGAGAGCTGACCGTTCTCCCTGGACCACTGTATAAACACAAAGGAGCAGCAGAAGAGAGGAACAAAACAAGGAGGGCCCTGCCATCATAACACCACCAGGAGGGATGCCCTCAAGCGTCCTGCAAGCAGCCTTGGGGTGAATTGCTTTGCTTTCACCACCTGCACTATGGAACGACCGCCGCTTTTGGCCTACAGCCCCCTGGAAGGGCTGTGCTCCGGGAGCAGCACAACAAGCCACCGTGTGAGAGTGCCGAGGAGCATGTGAGGAGGATGGTGCAAGGGCAGGTGGAGCAGAGCCCGAGGCACCCCCGGCGCACCCCATGTGCTGCTGCCCGCGCAGGCCCCTCGGCACAGCTGCAGTCCGTAAAGCTGCCTCCCAGGCACCACTGTTCACGGGCAGGAAAAGCCAGCGCGGGCCCAGCCCGCTCGCTCGCCAGCCCGGCCGGCGGGCGCGGAGGGGCTTCGCTGCCCCGCGAAGCTGTAGGCCTCAGCCAGTGTGATGGTACCATGATACCACTCTTTCTGGGGTAAGTATGGAGTCACTAGCACAGGACAGTAAGGGCTCTTGTGAGTCATAAAGTTTTGTCCCTTTTTTTAAGATGGAAAACACTACCATATAAATCCTTTCATGACCATGACTGAGACAGAAAAAATACCACAGAACTGGGAAAAGACTGAGCTTTGTCAAGTCTGTGGGCTTTAAATCTTCACAAATATTTTTGCTGCTTTCCACTGACTCTGATTAATGTGAGATTTTGTGAACTGAGGTGTTTACAATCTATAGGAACTTTTTCTCTGAAAGTAAATTAAGGGACTTTAAACTAGTTATCCCATGGCTTAAATGCCAAGGAACGCTTTGCTGTCAAAATAAATAAATAAATAAATAAATTAAAAAAAAAAAAAGGTAGAACAGCAGCTATTCCTCAGAAAGAAGCATAGGGAAAAACCCTACATGGGACACAAGTTGCCTCTAGATGGAATTAACCTTCATAGCACTCAGCTTCTGCCACAACTAAATCAAGCCCAGCTTCCACTAACACACTTAAGCCCCTAGCAAAAAGATAACTCCACGTAGCCGCCTCTCCTTTAAAAGCCAGTTAACTGCAGGCTCTTGCTCCAGGGAGCTCTGCTCAACGGCTCCTTTCCCAGAGGAGGGGAGGACGCCCTACGAGTTGCTCTCCATCCAGACTGCCTGTGTGACCAAGGGCAGCAGAGGCCCAGCAAGGCAGGGCTGCAGTAACCATCAGACCCGCGGGTGGGCTCCCTGCTAGAATGGGCTGCAGCATTTTCTTTTCTAAATGTTACTACCTGCTGTTTTAAGTGCAGAAGTTAGTGTTATGCTGCTGTGGGCCTTTACGCTTATTATAGGCCATGTGGTCACACTGCACAGCTTTTGGGAAACCAGATTTATTGTGGTTCCTCCTATGGTGTGAAAAGAGATTGTGCTGTGGGCCTGTTTTTGTTAAGCTTCCCACTTAAAGCAGTGGTCTTTATTCTGTTTCATCAAAAAATAAGCAGCAAATTAAGTGGTTAGAATCCCCTTTTGAACACTAATTTAACTGCATCTCTCCCTGGAAGAATTTTTCCATGGGAATTCTCCCTCTGCTGCCATAAACTCTTCCTTATGCCATGAAATTTTGTCCTTGTTGGGCACTAGTTGGTAACAGCTTTTACAAACGGATGTCTTCCCCTACAGGACATAAAGATTTCCTGGGATTAGCACCTTGTCCTGAATTAGGGCCTTTTCCCCTTGTAACAACATTGGGATTTCGGAACAGAAAGATACGTCTCTGCTTGTCTCACAGCGTGGTAATTTTGACACAGGCCTGTGCCCTGAGCCAGCACTGCACCCGCTGCCTTCTCCACCCAAGATAGCGATCGTGCTCCTCTCCGTTTTGGATTTAAGTTCTCCATCACAGTGTGTCACTGCTGACACACCTGCTCACACCAGGTTTAACAGGATCCAAACCCTGCATGGCTTCCCTGTAGCACCTGCGCCCCGAAGGCATACAGAGAAAATAAGAGAAGCCTTTCCAGAGCCAGGTATAGCTTCATCTCCACAGGGAGCAGGTAATCATAACTTGAAAAGTATTTAATTTAGTAAATACTCTACAGGTTTCTGTCCTATCTAAAACTATGGCTTGTTCAGAAGGAAATGTCCTTCTGCTGGATAATGTTTTCAGTCTCCTTTCCTCTTTGGGTCCATGGTGCTCTATTTACTTCCATCTCCATGTTTCTGAACCCTAGCTATATTTTCCCCTGGGATATCCAACAGAACAAATTCAGAAATAAACTTCAAGGGACTGACAAGGGAGGGAGTGAAGAAGATGGTGCTGGTCTCTTTTCAGTGGTGGCCACTGACAGAACTAGAGGTAATGGCCACAAACTGAAGCACCAAAAGTTCCACAGGAACTTCAGGAAAAATTTTTTAACAGTGAGGGTGACAGAGCACTGGAACAGGCTGCCCAGAGAGGTTGTGGAGTCTCCACACACATATATATATATGTACACACACACAGGCTGGCTTCCCTCTTTGATGGTGAAATGAGGTGATTACATTCAACATAGAATTTCTATGACATGTAGTTATGAGGACTGGTGCATTTATGAAGGTGGAACATCCCTCTGTTTTGTGTGCTGCCTGGAATTTAACCACTGGCTGTCCTTTCAACTCTGCCCTGCTCATTAACAAAACATAAAAACAGACTCCAGGTAACTTGCCTGTCATTAACAGCTGCAGTTTTCTGATAGCTCACCACAACAATCCTGTTAGCTGGACATGTTACAGCCTAGGAGAGAGTGTATTGGGCCCTACACCCAGTACACTCCCAGTCTTAGAGAAGAAGCTCTTGGGAAACCAGTGTATCAGTACTAGGCAAGGAGAACGTTCTCGGAGACAAGGCTCTTCTGCCTTTCATGCAGGGCTCCTGTGCACACTTGTCATCAATGAACTTGCACATAGTATATATGTCTCTAGCACTGTACGCATAATTAAACGATAATGATAAAATTATAACCTGCTAATTTCAGCTGAGGGTTGAGAAATTTCTGAAAGGCTTGGAAGTTGGTAGGCAGCAAGTATCATTGTACCCAAATGTTCATTCGTTATTCCCACACACTGCAAATTAACTGCTGGCAAGGAAGCAGTTCACTATAGGGAAAAAATACCATGCAATTTGCCAGGGTCAACAGCGACCTTGAAAAGGGCTGTGAACAGAACTGCTGTCTGTGGAACAGCATTTTAACTCCATGTGGATGCACCTGAAGCGAAGGTGCATCAGAAGGACTTATGTTTATAAAGGACTTCCAAATTTGGTACAGTGACTTTTTAGGGGTTATAAGAATTACCTGTAGCACTTGTTTTTGATTCTGAGGAAGATAATACTTACTAACTCTAATGAGAATAGTACCAGAAATGTTATTTCTTCTGAAATTTGGTCCTTCTTAACTCAGATGCTTTGACTCTCTCTGCTAAATAATCACAACCCTCATAAATCCTAAGCCGCACGCACACACAATATTTGGCCTATAGATCACATAGCACATTTAAAAATTATTCATACACAACTATATTCCTCATAATCTGAGTTATACAGAAATTAGCCCATGGAACTACTCACACCCATCAAGTACTTCTGGTTTGGTTTGCTACTTCCCTGACTCATCAGCTGCTTCTGCATATAATGACTTGTGACTCACAGGCATGAAACTGGGCGGTCTGTGTAGAAGAGGTATTGCTTCAGGCCACCTTTCCCTTTCTCTTCTTTTCACCCAGTGCTCTCCTCAGTTAACACTCCTCTTTTCCAAACTGCCCACACTGTCTCCTCTTTACCCAGTTGCACATCGACCTTAACCACTGCCACAGCAATGTCAGGAGCTGAAATGGGGAACTCTTGCAAACTAAATGGGGCCAAGGAACCCGTGCCAGAGGGTGGAGTATGGAGGAAACGTGTTGAGGGGCAGGGGAACACATCTAGCAGCCCTGTACGTATAGGCTGTGACTTGGCACTAAGCTGCGGAATAGAGGCCTTGCTAGGAGAGGAAGCAGCAGGACTGGATTGGGATTTGGCACAGTCTGGAAAATCCAGGCAGCATAACCAGTTTGCTGAGGCCTGGCTTTCAGTACCAGGCTCTACTGATCTGCAAGCTTCCTTGCCACTTCCTTCCTACTGCCAAAGTCATATTATGTTAAATCAAGCTGCTAGACTGCAGATCTTTCTCCAATGCCGACCGCAGCAGTCAAGAACACAAGGATGAAACCTTTCAAATGCCTGATCTTATACTATTGTGCATTAAATCATACTCTCCACCTGCTTTCTTCCCTGAGGACACCTTAGGCATGAGCAGAGACATTATAAGACAGATAGCTAGAGCTCCAGGAGACTGGCAGAACTGCTTTGATTTCACAGCTTTCCCTATAGTTCTGAAGCAGCACCAGGACCAAACAATTTTTTTATTTTGCTGATGAGCACCGCAAGCAGTTCTGTGCTGCTGGGCAGGCCCTCTGCATGCCCAGTGCTGAAGCCTGAATGAAACACATGCCCATGCTGGACACACTGTGGTAGAGCAGAGGAGGGCCTGGCCCAGATGAGCCAGGAAGAGGCTCTTGATGAGCAGGCGGGCAGGAAAGAGCAGGGAAGCTGAGGACAGAGCAGAGAAGCCAGCCCAAGCCTGGCGATGAGTTCCTTGGCTGAGAGTCTCTCCCGGTTCCGCAGGCACCCTGGACACCGTCTCCTAGTGACCTGGAGTCACTGAGCCCTGTCCTTCTATGCCGGACAGCGAGGGCCTCATGGTGGGGAGCCCTCAGGATGAGCACGGCCATGTGGTGAGCGGGACCAAGGGAGCAGGGATGGCCAGTGAGGGGACGTGGGGCTATGCTCTCTTTCGTTAGCCTGCTGGTTCCGCTTGCACATTCGTGCTGCCCTCCAGAAGCTCCAGCTTAAAGATCATGGGCAGACAGCAGAGTCCAGCCCCATCCTGAGCCAGGCTGGCAGCCATCCGGGCTAGTGGGTTTAAACCAGAGTTTTCCCCTGTGAAATGTTAGTGGGCAAGCAGGCAAAGCAGTCAAAGCAGTCCCCTGGCTTGTAACCTAGTTCTTGGCCTGGCTCAAACATGAACATCACCTTCCAACTCCTCTTTAACAGTCTAAGCCCGTGGAGCCCGACTGCTGCTGCCTGTTTGGTCCGGGGCTTTGACACTACCCACTGAACTCAACTGCTATGTCCCACTTTCCAAGGGGCAAACAGTAGAGCTGAAATGTCAAGCCGTAGCACAGACATGGTTAGCTTTTTATTCCTGCTTTCTTAATACAAGTGAGGTAAGCCTTAATACACACTTCCTTATTATACACATTTTCTGTACTAACTAGTGGTTTCTCCACTCAGGTACAAGGAAAAGTTGTCATCAAGATGCTTTCCAGTAGGTAGCACTAAGCAGAGGTTCTCGGGCTCCCTTAACAGCCAGCGCTGGCGGTTCTTAAAAAGCGGCCTGGATGATTTCCGCAATGGCTTCCCTCCTCCCTGTGGCAACATGGTCATCCGGGGCACGAGGGGGCTTTCCCCCATCGTGCTGCCCCGCAGATCCCACCAGAAGACAGGGAAGACATCGGCTACCCGCAGCCACCACCTCATGCCACAGCAGGAAGCCCACAAGGACTTCAGAGAGGAGCGGAACCACGACCGGAGCCAGTCGTTTTACTCTTATTTGAACGACAGCAGGCTTCCACAGGTACAGACCACGTGGTTGCTGATATTCCTCACTGAAATGGGAGTTCTTTCAGCACTTGAAATGTACAAGCAGCCCAGGATTGAAATCTCTCTTGCATTTATATAAAAATTAAAATACCTTTCCCTCCTCCCTATATAAATAGCAAGTCAATAAAGTCTGAATGGCCATTTAACATTACATCCCTGATATAATTGTAGCGGCAGCTCTGAGAAGGTGACAGGTTTGTCAGACACTTTGCTCACATGGGCATATCAATCGCATGTTATTGAACTATATGACACTGGAGGGAAGGGCCTTTAGCCTTGGAAATGTCTCACAATATCCCTGAATGTTCCAGGAATACTAATAATATGCCCTTTTTTAAACATAACATAAAGGCATGGTGTCCTGCATCACATCTGTAGCTCAGGAGCGCTCATACGCACCACAATCTCATCTCACATCTTTACACACCAACTTTCCCAAGAGGAGAATGTTCTTCCCTCCAGCCTCTCCCCTTATTGTGCTCCTCATTCTACTGAGAGGTCCCCCCTCCAACTCTGTGGAGGGTGGAATAGCTGGGCCTGCCTTTCTGAACCCTCTCTTGTTTGGCCCTCAGCTCCTTCTAGAGATGATAAATATCTTGGAAGCTGACATACAAAAGAGCTTCAAGACTGCAGAGACTGGTGATAGAGAGGACATCCTCCCTCCTCAGAGAATTCGGCATTATTCCAAGGACAAAAAACAAATGGAAGCAATGCCTGGGTCATCAGCACGGTGAGTATGGGACGTGGCAAGCTGAACTCTTCTGAATGGAGGACTGGGCTCAGTCCAGCCTCTTTTCCAAAATGCAAGAGGGAGAAAGAGAAAAAGGGGTATATCTGTGGGTCATATGCATATATCAGATGCATTCCACATCCTGCCACACTATATTTCCTGATTACTCTCCTTTGTCTTAAGCTGCTCAGTAGATATGGCATATTCTGGATACCCTACGTAATTCCTCCTATCAGACATACCGAAGAGGCTATGATGGGCCTGAGCCACAGCCATGGCATTCGAAGGGGACTGATTCCCTTGGCTGTGGCTGAAATCTGTAAGCCTAAACATGCATCTCTGGTGGTCACAGAGCTGCCTGAAGCTCCACCAGTTCCAGAAACTTTTCTCATTTTCCCCATGGATAAGCCGGAGAGAGACATATAGCTACTGCTATTCACACTGGACTGACTGAAACCTTGTGATCTCCTCTATGCTGTCAAGAAGCACACAGAGATCATGAGTAATCATGTCATACCTCTTTGCAGCAAGGAGTCTGGAAGAAAACACTTATATACATCACATCCCAAAGCAAAGATAGCAAAAAGAGAAAAGATGCCCGGCCTGAGCTACATTCCTCCTGTGACTATAAACAGAAATCCAGCAGCCACTGAATTTTGTGTCTGGGATGCATCTCTGGTAAGCAAGGACCTTCTCACCGAAAGCTGGTGGCAGCATCTTACACTACTTTCTTCAGCCTAGTGTTCCTGAATGTAGCTCTGAAAGTGCCCTGCACACTCACGGCTGTGAGCAGCTGCAGCAGCCCAGGCTGCAGCTGCAGCCCCACAAGACTGGGCTAATCCCCAAACATTAGCTGGGAATACAGGGACCTTTTCCCAAAGAGGAAAAGCACATAACAAGAATTTGACTGGGCAAATCACAAGCCATACAGTATAGGGAATAATGCAATATTAAAACAATATGCCAAATTCACATGCAGTGATGATACGTAGAAAATGCATAGAAACAATTGGACATGGACATATAATGTAACAGAAGAAAAACAGACGCACAGAATCAGGAGCACAGATAATTTCAGAAAATATTAATAAGGAAATTATGTATTAGGGCAGAAAGACGACCTAACTGCCCTAAGCTCGGCAGCTAATTTTGAAGAAAGGTTTCGGTATCTGTATTTGGGAATTTCTTCATGAACACTGGGCCCAAGAATGCAATCAGCATGCCAAACTCATCCTTAATTCTACTATTTGAGTATAAAATAACTTTGTGTAAGCTAACGCAATACGATCATCCTACTTGACCTAAATACTGTAAAAAGTATAGCTACACAGACTGTTGTTTCTGACCTTTTGCCCATGGAAAGCTCTAGCCCATCTCTAGCCAAAATATTCCAGTCCTATGACTCTTGCCTAGCCTGACTGCAACTGCACTGACCTCAGCTGCCACCAATAGTTACTGGAACAAGCCAAATTTGTCTTTTTACCCTACTTTCTCTCCACTGGTTGTCATACACTGTTTCTTATAAAAATTTTTAATGAAATGACATATTAATGCCTCCTAAAATAATTTGGATTAAAAATTACACCTGTTGGAGGAGCTTAGGGCCTAAAGCTCACAGAAGCTGATGAAAAGCCTGGTATATAAAAGCCTCTGACTCTGGCTCTTCTGATTTCATTGGAGCTTTTCACACAGAGAATGACAAACTGTGAAGTAAATCACAAGTCAATTCATTCTGTAATGCTGGCAATCTACCTGTTTACCTCAGTATCTGCCTGCCTGGAGGAGGGGACAGACAGAGGTACTTGCTGTGTTTGCTTTGGCAGTTTGACTGCGTGCAGTTTCAGCGATGCACAGCAGTCTGGTTTTATCAAGTTGTACTAACAAAGGGTACAATTTAAAATTGGCACTGATTTTCCTGCCCTGTGTGTTGTATTCCATGCAAGCACCACTACAGCCTTACAAGGGTGAAGGATGCTCCACTGGCATGCTCCATGGCAGTGCAGACTCTGTGAAAGCAGATGTGTAACGTGTTGTACCTACACCTGCACTTGGGGCTCCATGGTCATCATCTTTTGTGGCCACGCTGGAGAACACGACAGCGATGTGACCTCCCCAGTTCACCTGGTTTCCTCCAAAATTCTGGCCCGTGGCCATGCAGGGAGCAGGCCCAGGTGTGGACTGGGCTGTGCTCCTGGGAAAGCCCATCTCTGAACACAGCCACACTATGGAGCCTGCAGTGCCACGTATAGGTCAGTTGTAACCCTTGTCTCCTCAGCCAGGGTAATGCAGGGAGGGGTACTCGAAGCAATCAAATCACATCCTCCGTTCTGGTGTGTGACCTGAGTCTCACGCCGGAGTCACTGCCTCATGTGCTGTCTTGCTAGGCAGGGACTGATGGCCCTCATCTTGCTTTATTCTCCAACACGAATGTGTGGGAAAGGGCTTTATGCTTTCTCCTGCTGTTAGGCCAAAGCAGCACATGATTAAATGACTACATAGACACCCTCCCTCAAACACTACACCCAAGAAAGAAGAACTTACGGGAATGGTTTCAGAATAGGGCACGAAGATTTCCTGTCAGCACAAAACACCTTTTGGGAGACATGGAACTTTCCTGTTGCTGTCTTATTTATAACCTTGGCTTCTTATTTCAGGGAGAGGAAATATATTACATCAATGATAATACCAGGTCTGATACCACGAATGTCAAAGTTAGGGAGATAAATGCTATACCTGCACAGCTTAGAGAATGTCTGGGAGGCTCATTTCCTGGGACAGTTATGAAGAGTCCTCACGAGGTAAGGGGGCAAAGCTATTCAGAAAGAAAAGGCAAAGTCAGGGAACTGGCAGCTTCAGTCAGAATGTAAATGCACAATTTATAAAACAATCAAGGGGCTTCTAAGCTTTCAGGAAAGCATTATCTTCAAAAAAGGGCAGAAACATTCAGAAATTTTATGGGGGTTTGACGTAAGTGATCTCCTGCAGGTTAAGATTCCCAAGAACAAAGAACTTGCACTCAGCAAGATATGAAGAAACATAAAAGAGTCTAGAGGTAGGCTAGGGGGTGAGATAATGCTTGTCAAAGGAAGGAAAGCTCACTTAGAGATTTGTTTGGTTCATTTAGAAAAATATCAGACATTCCACTGCAAAATCCTTCATCAGCAGAGCAGATGAAATTACGTCTGGCACCTTATAAATCCAAAGGAATATTTAAACCGGTGTGGAGAGGGTACTGCAACAAGCCAGGTGAAGTCATTGGTGATACAGCTCTAAAGCCTCCTTCAATTCTGATGAACAGCTCCATTTCACAGTTAATAGGACATCCGAGCTAGGCTGTGAGAACACACACAGGCTGCTTCAGATAAATAAAAACCTGTGCCCTGTAGAGCTTGCTGACATGGGTAGCACGCAGTAGGAGCATGTGAAATGATACCGCACTCTACACTAGCTCCCTGTTGATATCTTCCCAGGAGCTCATTTTTCCCAGCAGTTAAAGATGTTTCTGGTATTCTCAACTGTTTTCTGTCTCCAGCTTGGAAGATTATCTGAACAGCTAAAAACATACGCATACATGTTCTTTCTTATCACAAAATTCAAGCTTGTATTTGCTTTTTTAGTGCTCTTCAGACTTTGGACTTGGATCATCTTCTGTGTTAGAAGTTGCTTGAAAATAAGTATTTGGATGTGTCCTACGCAGCTTTTCTCTGACAGCCAGGCAATAAAATGAATCTAGATAGAAGTCAAGGCATTATGTTACTGGCACTTTAGATAATCTTGGGGGTCTATCAGCATGGATCTGTTTGCTAGAACAGTTTCATTATGATTCAGCCTTTAAAAGTTGCTGGGTACCCCAGCTCCAGTGAACTTTGGGTTGAGCTGAGGATGCTCAGCACTGAACAGAATTTGCCCAGAGTGTATGACATTGTTTTGTGCACTGTACACTGACTATCCTGCTGCATGCTCAACTGCAGCTGCACAAATACAGAATGAGGAACAAGTGGCTAGGCAGGAGACCAGTAGGAAGGAATATGAGGATTTTAGTAGATTCTAAGTGTCAGCAGAATTCTGGTTGTGCAAATAAAGGAAGCATCCTATCATGAGACCGGAGAGCAATATGAGATAATGGTCTACTCAGCTAGGGTAAGACCTCTGGGGGTAATGTCCGTGTCCAGCTTTGCTCACTATTCTTCAAGGAAATTGTGAACAAGGCTTTGGTGGTGCTTACTTTTTCTTTACCACCACGCTAAGCTATGAGAAACTGGCTCCTTTCCATCTTTTAAGGACTAACAGTGTAAAGCAGCCCTAAATCTGGTGTAGGCCACTCTGAAGGCTACTTAGGAGGACAGCATTACAACCAATTTTAATCGCCCTTGTTTGGTTTCTGAGCTCTCCTTACCTTTTCCGGTGTGTTAGTGTAGAAAAGAGCTTCTTGCTCAGAAATCTGGGTCAAAAGGCATGATAAACGCTGCTATTCAAAATTTTCTAAAAGTAACAGAGAGAAACCATCCCTTCACTGAGCAGAAGCAGAAACAAGCTTTTATTATCAGAAATACTACTTACATGCCACCTGCTGGCTACTGGGAAATAAGGCACACAGGAGAGAGTCAGGATACTTGCAGTACTACTGCAGGGGGAAAAGGATGGTAGAGATAGATGGTCAGGGCTACTGTTTCTTCCAGGAGCATAAGGCATGTCCAAGGTGTATGAATACTTTGCTACGCGGTTACATGAGCATTTAATGCAAAACAGTGACAAGTCACCACTTCAAGAAAATGTGAGGAAAATCCCCATGGTAGAAGAAAGGTTACTTAGTTCCCAGTGTGTCCTGAGTCTGAATTTGAGATTTTTACCCTGGCAAATGGCTTCTAGGGGAAGATACTAGCCCTCTGAGCTACTGTCTAAGAGTTGCTGCTGTTTCTTTTCCTATCTCTTTTTAGCTCTGCCTTTGGGCACATCAGAGACAACGAGATAAACAAATCACCTTACTTCTTCATGTGTTTGCACAAATTCACTTGTGCTTCTCCCTTCTAACTCCAGCCCCTGTTTGCCTTCCTCCACTCTGCTGTGCATCCTCTTTTACTACAGAGCAATCTCCCCAAGTCTACCCATTGGAATGCAAAGAAGAAAGAACACACTAGCAAAAGGATAGGGTAAAAAAAAAACTCAAGATGAATAATAGGCAAGACAGGGGTCTTTTGTGCAATATTCTTTACATTGGAAGAATCAATGGTGATGAACATGTTTACACTTTACTATACTGCTACTGCAAAGCGTACGTACCAAAGTATGCTTATACACCATTAGCACTTGGCATCTGTTTTATCATTAGGCAACATGGTAAGCAAGTTACCACTCTATTATTTTTTAGGAACCATGCCAGCGCAAATTTCATAAGATCAGATATGGAGCCTGGTACCTTGACCCTAAAACATGGAAAAAACAAAAAGTGGGTGAACCTTTAATGGATCCAAAAGAAATGGACGATGGCGTTAAGGATGTCATGGCACCATCCAACACAAAGGTACCATAAACACTGTGAAATCATGGACACTGAGTTCAGATGAGTCAAAAACTACACAGTGCCACAGTGCATTGTAGAGGAACTTAACTGAGCACCATGTGCAATGCTGACAGGAAACAGGCCTCCTACTATTTACCTTACCAGTTACAGTGGCTATTTTTTTACCTTTTGACACTAAAAAGCCACAGCATAAGGCCTGGAAAAATGCAAATACAGGCAGCCCTTGTTCATCAAGACCTGCTACCTGCCTCCGGTACCTATTAGCTGGTGTCCTACCCCTTCTCATTAGGGTTGCTTAAAAGTCCCACTGGGATTTCTTCCATGCTGCCTTTTTGCCCAGCAAGAGCTCCCTGCAAATGGCCTCAAGCAAATCTTTTTCCTGAATTGTCTGTAGAATTCCAGGTGTCCCAGTAGCAGAGCCAAAGGGGGTAACAGGGCTGCTTAACTAGCGATTTTTTCTCTACTTGTTCATGTCACCATTTGATCCATCACAAAAATAAAACCAGGGGAAGCACTGCATTCACATAAGGGTTGTTTAAGAGCAGTGCTCTCCAACATCCTTAATGCAGTAATTGAAATCACTGGTGGATCAGACAGTGGAAACTGGAGAGGTTCATAAACACTCCTGAAACAACATTTCCTGCTGCTACAGTTGGAACCAGGACAGTCAGGTAGATGGACTGAATCTAGAGGGCATTTCTTACACTTTTAAATTACACCTGAGATTCCCTGTCGCCACACTAGGTGGCACAGCTTACAGAGTCAAACCCAGAAAGTTAATTTGAGAGACAGAATGAACCTGGGCCAGGGCTTTCTAATAACAGCCATGGCTGCATAGTTGTTGTTTATAGAATTGTCCAAAGTAAATATGCAGCCTGATGTTCTGCTTTAGAAATGTGAGATGGGGGCAGGTTTGAGGCTCCTGCTCTTGCCCTAGCCAGTTGGCTGGTAAGTCTACAAAGTCACATGCAGCCTTTCAAAATAAGGTTCTGCAATTGCAGCTGCATTTGCTGAATAAACAGTCCTGCAATGACACTTAAGTGCTTACTAACTTCCAAAAGAAAGCCACATCAGAAATGATGAGAAACTAAAATCTTGCATTAGTTAGAAACAGAATTGTTAATATCCTTGAGACTCAAAAACCGCCTCCTTGTCCCTTTACTGCACTGTTTCCATGAAAAGTGTTTCCATGAACACTTTAAAAAACAAACAAAAAATGTAAGATGCATTCTGCAGCCTTTCTATTAATTTGCTTTGGAAATTCTCTTAGGATATTGCCCCGTCCCCTGGGATGCATGCATTTAAGGAATTCCTGGAGAGAAAAGGCTATCGGAAGCCCAGGGTAAGTTACTAGCTAGGACGATCCGTGCATTTGCATTGGAAACAGCGACCTCTGTGCTCAGCATCCTGTATTTCTTGAAATTTTACTCTCCTCACTTCTCTTCTGTCAAGCATCTCTCTCTCTCTCTCTAACACATGGTGAGTGATCAGTGGCCCAGGAATTTCCATCTTCACATTCACGGAGATATTGTTCTAAGAAAAGAAAATCCAAAGCAAGTTATACACAGCCTAAACTCCCAAGGCATAAATTCTCTGCTACCTGGACAGGGCACTATTATTAAAACCATATCTGAAACACTTTCCGTTTAATCCAGCTTAAATGCTCGTAGCCTCTGAATGGGTCTGCCTTTCCCTCAGCTCAGAAGCAGGAGCTCCCTTTTCCCTCTGACTCTGCACAAAACAGAAGGCACTTTGAGCTAGCAGCAACTGGCAGCAGGCTGGGAGCTCAGCAGAATGAGCGTGTCAGGAAAGGGTTATAAAACTGTTCTTCCCTGCTTGGGAGGGCTCCAGAGCTGTGTGGGAAGCTTTTCTCTGGTGGCACCTAGGTCACTGTCACTTCTCTTGGCTGAGCCATTCAAACTCATTTCTAGTAACCACACTTTTTACTGTGCGCATTTTGTTTTAGTTTCTTCTGCAGACAATGGATGAAGAGGAGGCTGAAGCAACAGACAATGAGTTTGAGAGAGAAAAAGAACCAGAAGAGACCTTTGCTCATTTCTCATTAAAGGAGCACGCTTCCTTTATGCACTCTGTCTTTAATCTCTCCAACTTCTAAGTCTTCAAAATAAACCGCTCCTTAAAGATGTAACTTCTAAACTGTGTCAGTTCTGTTTCTCCTCTTTTCTAAGATGTTTTAGCAGACATATTGAAAGAAAGAAATGTTGGGATTAACAGATCCAAACCCTGCCTACTGAGCTGTTCTCAAAACTGGCAGAAGGATGCTCTTGCACTGTGGTAAGAAAGGTATGGATTTCTGCCTGCTCTGTTTCAGGGAGGTGGTTAGGAATATTCAGCTACAGTGCACACTTACTACCTAAAGCTCAACAGCCAGTAGGGACCATAACTGAAAAGCACAGCTGTGCTAAGTGTTGTATAAATACAGACCAAGAGATTGTTTCTGCTGCGAAGACTAAAAAAAGGTATTTAAGCAAACTACAGAATTGTAGTCTACTGTGCCAGGAACAGTTAACTCACTGAATTTAACTTTTTATTAGAAATAATAACTCTAAGCTGCAGATACTCATCTCATACATCAAAACACAAAAGCACATACTTATGCTGACAAAAGCACGTATTTATACTGAAGCACAAGTTCAGCACTTTGTTGGAGAAAGGTATCTTATTTGTCAGAATATGGCTTTGGTGCCTTCACAGATATGGACCTGTACCACACCAATGAGGGAACTCCACTCTGAAGCCTGCACACTTGTGCTTCTATAAATTTACTTGACATTTCATGTCCTGTTAAGCTGATATAGCATTGATCTAAATGACACTGAAAGATTAAGAACCCTGCCTACTGGAAATAGATTTATTTGGATATCCACTTAGCCACTCTCTTTTCTAATGAGATGGCTGGCAAGATCTCATCAGGGGGTCTTTAGATCTAAATAAAGACAACACCTTGGTGCGGATAAAGGAACCGTGCTTAGGAAATCGGTGGTCAAAAATGAATGGACCTACCCCCCCTTAACATTTCTCTGCTGTTAACAGAGTTAATAGTCCAACCTGCACTAGTTTGCTAAATATTTTGAATATTTGTCACTCCAGGATTCTATCAATTTGAAATACTAAATCATAACATCTTTTACTGAATTCCGGGAGTAAGACTTACTTAGAGTAAGATTATCTACAGAATCCTTGAATTCTGAATTAAAATCAGACATCACCACTTTGAGAGGAGCAGAACTGGGTAGAAAAATGAAGCTATACTAAACTAATTGTCAATATGATTTCGCACTAATGGAGTCTGCAGTCCTGCCAGTCCAAAAAAAGCCTCCCGGCGTAATAGAAATGACGGAGGAGCATGACGATGTTAAGAAATCCAATTGCCAGCATTAGCACGCGTGGTGGTAGCAGCACCTTTATCTCAAGGCTCAGAGACACCAGAGAAGCACAGCCCAATGCTCAGCAGGACAAGCATTGAAGGCACGAGCAAGTTAGCCGTCCTTAGCACCCACAGATCTTGCATTAGAGCATATAAATCACAGCACTACCAGTACTGCTAAAATTAAGCTCCACATACTCCTGCCCTTACTAAAGCTACAAGCTCACCAAGCACAAATGCACCTTCTGTGAAAAAGAAAAGGAAAAAAATGGGGAGAAAAAAGGGAGGAAAAAAAAGGAAAAGGAAAAAAAGGAAGAAGAAAAAAGCGAAAAAGGGAGGTGGGGAGGGAAGAATTCATGCGTCCTCTCCTTGCTTTTGCATTACCCTTGATTTAAAAATTGCAAGAAAAAAAATTGCAAGGGGCAATACCTCTATCTTAGACAGACTGCCTAGCTACAGAAGAAAATAATGAAAGAAGGGGAAATTAAATTAAATTCAATTAAATTAAAACACGACAGAAAAGTCAAGGAGAGAATGAGAAACGACAAAGCCTTTTAACTTTCTCCCAACTTGCTATTGCTCACTTTAGTCCTCGTTTGCATTCCTTAGAGGGACTTCAAAGGCAGCCTAGCTAGAGAAGGGACCGAAGGGAAACGCGGGTGCCACAGAAACAGCACAGAATTACTGGGAACCGCTTAAAACCTCTTTCTTTTTAAAATAAGCCTCGGAAGGAGGAAAACAGAGACGAGCGGGGGAGGAGATCCCGGGCTGCTCCCCCGCGCCCGAGGCTCCCCCTCACCGCGGCCGCGAGGGGCGGTGCCA